CCAGCCCTGCGCGACGCCAGGGATAGCCAGGAAACAGACTATACAGCGCAGCCTAACAGGATCTGGGCCCTGACTTGCGCTTTGGTTGTAGTAACTGAATTATTAATGGTTCTTCTGTGTGGGATGTGAAGATGCTGGGGCAGCGCTAAATGGAAGGAGGTGGGATGATGGGATAACGCAAACGAAAAAAAAAAGATAAGTGGAAAGGAAAAGACTTCGGAGAGAAACTAATCATAGGGAAGAATGAGGGGTTTATAAAAGAGAAGTATTCATGTCATAATTCCATTTTTTGTCTTTGATGGTCCCCTGTAAAACCGCGTAATCCTGGTGACAAACCACTTGGCCACTGAATAAACAAATGTAGAAGTTACGACTACTGCTATCATTGATATTACAACAGCCACTGCTTCTACTACTGCTATTGCTTCCATTACTGCTGCCACAACACAGCGATAGTTACTACTATTACAATTATCGCTCTTTCTACTGCTGCCACAATAACTGTGCTACTACTATTATTAATACTACTCTACCGCTAATGTTACTATTACTACCACCACCACCTGTAATGCTATACTACTACTACTACAACTGCAAATAATAAGAGAAAAAAAAACTCACGAGACAATATCCCCGTGTTCCTTCCTGAGCTCCATGACCTGCTCACCGAGAGACACGTCGTCGGAGGGAAGGCAGCCAATCACAGGCCATCCCCACTTGCCTGAAGAAGGGGGAAGCGGAGAGGGTGAGACCATAAGCCATTAATTATCATTACCATTTTTCATTTTTATTTGTTTATTCACTTATATATTAAAAGAAGAAGAAAAAAAGACGACAATGATTCAGAGATTGAGAAGTTGATAATGACTAACTGAATGAAACATGTCCATATAACATCGTTGTCTTTCAGATATAATCACTAAGCTTTCGAATATCATATAAATACCATCACATATCTGTCGCTTTATTATTAATCATCACCAACTTATCAAGCATTTTCGCCATGATAAAAAGAAGAAGAAGAAGAAGTAGAAGAATAAAAATAAGAATAAGAATGAGAAACAAAAATTAGAGTGTAGGTGGAGTTACTGAGTGCATGATTTGGCGTTCTCTATTTTGCCCGTTGGTTATTTCATACACACATGTACGTCTGTGGGTATGTGCGCGCATGTACATGTATATTTTCTTGGTTTCTTCTGAAGACAATGAGGACACAAACTGTTATTAATGAATTCGTGTTCTGGTACATTTATCAATCGCTTATATTTTCATTTTCATCGTACTCAGTTAATAACAGAAGAGAAGAGAAAGAATCATAAAAGAAAAGAAAAGAGTAGAGAGAATACGAGAAACATATAAACAGAGAAATTGAAAAATTTACAGTATATATATATATATATATATATATATATATATATATATATATATATATATATATTCACACACATATATAAATAAATAGATAGATATAGATAGATCGATATATACATATATATAATATACATATATACATTATACATATATATATATATATATATATATATATATATATATATATATATATATATATATATACATATACATATACATATGCATATATATAAATATATCTATCTATCTATCTATCTATCTATCTATCTATCTATATATCCATTCACTCTGCATTATATGAACGCATATCCTTGCACATCCTATGTCACCTGCGGCTCACCTGGCGGGAGGTTCGGCGGCTTCCTGTTGGCGAAGACGAACAGCAGCACCACCAGCAGGATGCCCAGCAGCGCCTCCGTCAGCATGGTGATTCAGCTCAGTCTTATGGGAAGGGAGGAGGTTGATAGCGGAATGTCGCGCAATTTTGGTCATATATCTGAACTTTCTATCAATGTTCATATACATACGTACACATGTATATGTGTAGACACACACACACACACACACACACATATATTTATATATATATATATATATATATATATATATATATATATATATATACATATATATATATATATATATATATATATATATATATATATATATACATACATACAAATAGATACATACATAAATACACGTTTAAATATATATATATATATATATATATATATATATATATATATATATATATATATATATATATATATACATACATACATACATACGTACATATTCATAGTCCAATCAAACATTCATGTGCACCTACACACACAAACACAAACACAGACACACTCACGCACACTAGCTAGCAAAACTCAGTCTAACAGGACATGCCAGCACAATTATTTAATTCACGTAATGACCAATGAAAAAAAAGAGATCTAAGCAATTATAAGAACGAAACTTCCGAAACTCACATCGTAGTTGGACCTTCTGTGCTCGATCCTACGTCCCTCCCTCGCCGCTGTTGTAAACAAACTGTCACTCTTAAAGGAGGATGGCCTTGGGTGCTGCGCCCACTGGGATTAGAATGGGCTTTTGTGAAACACCGAGTAATGATGAC